AAGAGACCCTGAAAACCACTGGGTGCTTGAGAATAGTTTTACAAGGGGTCCATTTGATCATCTTCTTCTATGTTGGTGTGCAACTGGGGTATGATTTGATTTTTTGTTCAGTGGTTCGAAACCATTTTGACCGCTGGATGTTACCTTGGCCCCTCGGAATATGTAACCTTTGTTAGATCGACCGGGCAACGAGATGTTATATATGATTGTTTTCCCTAGGCCTGGATAGACGGGGCTTCATGGAGACGGTGTCCTCCCTTGTCCCCAAATAAGGACAGGATAGAAACGATGTCAATTTGGGGTGTCAAAAAGATCAGTGTTGTTTGGTATTGCGAGCTCGGAACCAATGTACAACATTGTACACATGTTGTTGGAGGGATTTGTATTATCTCTGAGGTCGCAGGCTTTCCTCAAAACAGAGGATGAGGACAGTTCGGGTTGGTTGCACTTCCTCCAGAAGTGTCGATATTTGGGGGATTCACTTTGATTTGTTCGCAATGTGTTTTCTTAGTCCAGAGATGACTTACTTATACTTAAAGCTTACTGTACTTGGTAAAGCATGCCGCCTTTCACAACGTTTGTTGAACTTCCTTCCACCCTTGACTCCTTGGCCACTGCTTATGTGTCCTCGAAGTCTCGGGGACCTCACCGGCTTGGTGAACGGTGCGCGAAGCGAAGCACCGCGGCGCCGGGTGGCCCCGCCGTTGGGTTCGGTGCCCAGCTGAGGTGCCGGAGCAGCGGTGACAAGGCCGGAGAGTTGGATGGGATGCAGAGAGCCTCGGCGAAGGACAGCGAACTTATGTGCCACAGGACCGGGCGTCAGAAAGAGCGACCCAGAAAAAGCGGGATCGCCTGGTCACGTGGAGTGGGTTCTCCACTAAATATGAACAGGCGAACAGGTGTGAAGAGGTTTTGGCAGCCTTTGTGTTGGAGGGAAACTGAGGCTGTCAGCGGAGAATCGGTAGGTTTCACCGGATGCGTTATATGTCGCATGGTATGCGTTCAGTTCGGAGTTCTCATTCTGTCACCAACCGGTATACCCGGTGTGCAAAAAAAAGCAAAGCAGATGTTGAGCAGAATTTCATTTGCACTGCCCTTTTTCGTGTAGCCAGCAGAGGGTCGTCAATCAGAGGCTTAATCCAAAAGCCAAGAAGATGGAAGTGGATGACATGAATCCTCGGAACGCGATTTCTTGTGCTCAAGAAAAGCGGTCTTCACTGAGTGTAGCTCTCGCCCAGAAAGATTTGAACAGAACGTTGTGACCTGTGTGACTTGGTTTTAGCCATGATCAAATCCTGCAGAACGTATTGCAAGGCAGCAAGAATAAGATTTGGCGGGTAATTAATGAGGATTCTAAGATAGGATAATAGGAGAAGCCAATTTTCTTTAAAAGCCGAGGGTTTCTTTGAAGCTGGATGTCGGGAAGATGAGCCACATGTGCCACGGAAAGGCCTTTCATCAACTAATTAGCAGGAGGATCAAGTCTGGCATTCTTCAGAGCACAGGGTTGAGACGAACCCAGGAGTTGTGTTTCCTTTGTCGATGCCCTACGTGAATGATCATGGTAGAACTCCTGACGCACCCATTGTGCATACATAAATGTTAAAGTGTAATATCCTGTTTGTTTGTGTGTTTATTTCTTTCCTTCTTTGTGTCGTGTTGTGACTGACAGTGGATCAAAGAACAGGCCGATCTCATCGTCGTAAGCAGTTCCCGATCCCATCCGATCTGAGGACTCTTCGACACTCGAGAGCGGCGGAAGACCATCCGGCGGCGACTGCTGAGCATTCAGGAGAGGATTGAATACTTGGAGCAGCTGGGCGAACATGAACGTAGTGTTAGCCACGCTTAGAGGTGATCCATGTTTTGCTTCCTCCACAAGGCCATGGCCTTTGTGGGATGTTTTTGCTTCACCACAAGCCCTTCGAAGATCAATTATGGTCTATTGAAAGACAGCAAATAAGTCTACCAAAGAAGGCGGTGTGTTGGCAATGCTTCCGGCTCAGCTGAGGAAGGTCCTCTTTGAGTACAATCGGAAGCAGGAGGCGAAACGATCGCCAAACACGGCCCAGCCACCGTCACTCAGCGGAAAACCTGCGAGGTGAAAACTCAGGAACATGTTGAGTTTGGGCGAGGAGATTGTCAAGAGATGTCATGGGACTGCATGGGACTATCCTTCCTTGAGCAAACATCGTTTGAACTGATGGTCACTGGTTCACATCGTTGGAGCTTCACATCGTTGTAATGATGTGTTTAAGACAACTTATCGCTTACAGCATCTTACAACGGTTCATCGCCTGAAAAGGACAAGAAAGGCCAGTTCAGAGGAGGACCGATCCTCCGCGACCGACCCTCCGTCGCCCGAGGCGCAGCGAGCCCCGTCGACCGGCCAAGCCCAACTTCGACGCGGATCAGGCGATGCTGTGGGAGGGCACGCACCGATCGGCAGATCCGCTCGGCGGAGGCGAAGTGCTGCATACCCCAAGAATCCAACGATGTGACGTGCTGAAGAAGATGATGTTGATGATGATGATGATGGATGTCGGGCTTGTGGGCTTTCCTACTTGTTTCCACCTGGGCGCCCTCGCCAAAATGCGATACTGCGGTCGACTTGTGTCGACAAAGGCCAGGAGACTTGGGAGATCGCAGGCAGTTGTTGTGTGGTTTTATCATGCTTGATCTTGAATTCAGAGTGGCATATATAATCTACGCGAGGGGCATAGAATATGAACCATTTTGTGTATGTTTGGCCATCCAATGGTTGTTGCGACCTGGCACCAGTGTTAGCCTCCTCGTTTCAATCCAAGCAGCCATAGCAAAGCGGAGCCTCTGCAAAGCTTGGAGCAGCCCAACGACACTTGGGACCTGGTGAAGAGAAAGACACGGGAGAAGCTGAACAGGTCCACACTAGAATGCCCCCAACTCGATACAGAATGAACAGTGAATCTGTCAAATATTATCAAACAGATTCAAATAGAGATGGAAGCCCTCGGAGCCTCGAAGGTGAAGGAAAACAGGTGCAGACCCGACGGAAAAAAGAAAATGAAACGCTTTCTGATTGTATATTAATATAAGAAAACATCACAAAACACGTGGAGCCGCGCGCGAAGGTGAAAATCTAGGAAAAGCCTTCAATTGATATATACATGTTCATGACTGGGGTCTCCTGACGAGGCTTGAACCGATCTTTCAACCTCTCCAGTGTTGGTCAAAGGCTCCAAGCCTCTGAGCCAAGCAACAGTTGTGTTTGCTGAATTATGTTTTTGAGGGGGCCGAAACTGGCCACCGCCTGTTCTCCAGCCAATCAAACTAGAATAATTATGTTCCATCAACCTGAAATAGGGATCCAGCCTTTGGTGGGGAACCATCAATGGATATATTGTAATATATATATATATATAGATCAGTGCAGTAGACATATCCTTCTCCGATCTGGTTCGTCGTCCACAAAATTAAGGTGAATCGCTCCACATAATTCTTGCAAGAACTCCTTGCAACCTTGGCGAATCGCTTCACCATGCTTCACCCATCGCTCGGCCCGGCCTGCGAAGCCAGGCCTTAGCAGAGCTCAAGCGTCAGAAGGGCAAGGCCTAAGGAAGAACAGCGAGGCCAGGGGATGTTCGTGGTTTGCAGTGGATGGCTGGTGAAATGCACCAGGGGGATTTGTGTAGCTGATGCTTGATGAATGTTTCGGGGTCCTTTGGAGATACTGGTACCCCGTTCAAGATGCAGAGCCAGCTACATCCTCTTCGGTGCAACGGGAAGAGCTGGCACACGTTGGCCCTGCATGTCCGCAGGCAAAACTATATGCGTTATTCATAAGATTTATATATACTTAGGGTCTGTCCTATTACCTGTAACAGTCAGTAAACAATTATCATCATTTTTTGAACAAGGCCTTTCCTAACCATCATCATCCACTAGACCCAATGTATACTGTATGACTGTATGTATACATCTGTAAAACTCCTCAACCTGGTTCTTCAAAGTGACCTTTTGATATCCCAGTTTGAGGTCACTTGGGACTCTAAAAGGTCACTTCGGCACTCCAAGAGGTCACGAACTGAAGAAGCTGGAAGACTCTTTGGATGTTGTGATTTTGAGCCCGGCTCCGATGCCGAGAGATCTGAGACGACAAGAAGTGTGTTGAAAAACATGAACATCCGAAGCGACACTCTTGAGAAGTACGAAGAGACACCAGGATCAGCTATGATCTGAGAGTCGTCCCAATTCCAGCCCATTTCCAGGACTGGGAAAAGCCTTGAAAGGGGTTGGATGGGGTGAATATGGGTTAATTACTGTTGGAACATTAGAGTTCAAATCATATACAGCTGAGCCATTTCCGGTGTCAATTTCAGCCGAACCATTCAGGTGAAGAATGCTGAGTGGGATGGTCCCATTTCCCGTGGCAAAGCCACAGTCAGACACGGTCAGACAGATGCGTTTCTGTGGAGCTCGCTCCCCAGCAGGAATGAAAACAATCTTCTGTTTTCATTGATCGACCCCGTTTCCATGCCTGTGTCGCTTGCCTCATGCTGTGAGCGAGCCACCGCGTGGTTTCCACGCATACTCGTAGCACAGATTTTCCGATTCATGTCCTGGATCGAAACCATAAGGCCAGAAGCATGTTCTGGTGAGAGAGCCTGGTTGAGGGTAACAGCAGGGTGGCAGCCTTGCCATACAACGCCTTGCTGCAGAACAGGATTGGTCGAGGAATCCAGTTTGCAACATATTCCAACCATTTTGAGGAAGCCATTTTTTGATATTTTTGGGCCCTGGTGGGGTACACATTGCTGGGGTTGAGGTTGCAATTTATTGGGTCAAATTTTGGCAATCGCATCCACTTGTACTGGAACGTTTCTTCACTCAGTAGAAGCGATCTCCCCAGTGGAGTTCACTCCAGAAACCTTGCCCAGTTCCCAGTGTTTGTTCCACCCGAACGATCTTAAGCCGAGATCTTCAGCCGAAAAAACCGCACCAGTTGCACCCTGAGAAACCGCAGCTGATCCGTGGCTCAGCGATTTCAGTCCGCGACCACGAGTCCGCCCATGTCGGCTTCCCAAGTCCCCATGTTTCTGGATGCTGTGAATGCTGAGATCAAGGCCGGCCACCGGTGCTTCTTGTTGTCGTCGCCGGCGGTTGTGGTTGTGGTTGTGGTATGTTGTGGTTGCTGTTGCTGTTCTTGTTCTTGTTCTTATTGTTCTTGTTCTTGTTCCTTGCATTGTTGTTGTTGTTGTTGTTGATGGGAAAGATTGTCCTCTATTTGTTTCAGGTGACGGGCGTGACAGAAGAAGGGCTAGAGTAAATGTTTTTGAGAGTTGAGAGGCAGCGTTGAAGAGTTGAGGGGAGTTTTTGGGAGTTGAGGGTTTGTTTCTGGATCTGAACAAGTGTGAGGCGTAAGTAAGGGCAGCAGCGAAAGCACAACAATACAACTACAGGAGTGCATCCGGAAAGAAAACGGATGAACACCTTTGTGGGTGGGTGTTCTCGAGAAAAGGCTGGTCGGGTAGAAAGAAGAGTGCAGTTTCTATATGGGCTGTGAGAGGAGCGTGCGATCCACAAGGACACAGCCCAAGATGAATAGGTTTGACACCAAAGAGACACCCCAGCGGCCCTAGCGAGATAACAGACACCATTTGGAGTTTTGTTACATCTTCAGCCCTCCTCAGTCAACTCGTTTCTCCATCGAAGCAGAAACAAAGCTCTCTCCGCGCAGAGGTTCTGAACACCTTCCTGCATGTGAGCTCCAAGCCTGTCGTCCAAACCAGCTTCTCAGACACTTCGGCTGTATGGTTCGGCATGTTCGTTGAAAGGCAGTATGGCGTTTCGGCCGGCCAACTAGGGGGAGCCCTTTTTTCGGAGGATCATGGCATAGTTCATGGCCATACATGGTCTCCTAAACAGCCAGGGAATGTGCTAGCCATTGACTTTGCTAACATATAAAAATTAAAGTTAGCAATCATTGAATTATAAGAATGATAAAGATAATAAGACCATGAATTTTAAGGAGACAAGAAGGAAAAAGAGAACCAGATAAAATTCATGGTCTTGGGAATCCTTCATTAAAAATAAGAGATACAAAGGTGGCACTTGTTCATATGTCATATGAAGTTCAACAAGAAATGATTTGCCTTGCTGTTTGCACGAGAACCAGTCAGTACAATTTGTATGTTGTTATATATATAGGGCATTGTTTTATGGTCGTTGTAGGGTCCCAGTCATAGGTTCTGATGGCCATTTTGCAACTGCTCATTGGTATGGGCCACAAAATGGGCTCCAGGACTCCAGCCTGAGCTTTTTTGTTGAGATGGATTGAAGGAAGATACCTGGGTCGTTCACCACATAACCACAGTTTCTAGTGGAAACCGCAAACTCCGTTTCATCTTGGTGGTTCCATGAGATGGACGGGTAACCCGTCTCTGTGTGGATGATCTACGAAGGACCCGGGGAACCTGGGGGGGCTGACTCCAAGCGAAACGTGAAGCGGTGAACGAGACGACCGTGAGACGAACTGTCGAAGCCTGTGTCAGCCTGGCGTCCGGACCCACCGACCACCGAGCTGACGAGAGGGTCGCGTCCACGCGTTGGTGCGGCACCGTCTCAGGAGCCTTTGCCGATTTTGCCACACTTCTCGGAGGAGGAGGAGGAGGTGATGCCATGGAGGAACCTGGGCCCAGTTGAACCAAAGAGCGTGAATCTGAAGTGAAATTGATGACACTTTGTCGATGTTTGTGGTGAATCGTGTTGATATAAAAATGTGTATTAGATAATAATAATCAGCTGATATGTGTTTGATGATATGTTGTTCTCCATCCTGCAATGCTGGTCACACATGGCCACTCTACCCTATTTGGGAATGGTTATGCCAGTTGACTTGTATTTTTGGGGCTTCCCGTCAACTTCAAATCACCAACCGGATTGCAACTCTTTTGTGCCACATCAAAAACACCACCGACCCGCCTTGGCGAGACACAGTGCCAGGACCCACGACTCCTATGAGGAGGAGGGTCCTTTCGTAACTGGGATGCTTTCGTGACTTGGGGGCCTCCGGGGCTTCCCCTACTTAAGCATTCCAAACCCGGACATGAAAACCACCGCCCAGGTCGGGTGGTTTCCATGGAAAGGACATCATTTGTCATTGGGGATCTACATCCTTTGAGTGGTGCTGGAACAAAGATGTTTGTTGGCTTCTAGAACACCCAAAGACGGTGCCTGAAGAACAAACTGGCTGTTGGAGTGGTCTTGACTAGAAAAAAGACACCTGTGCGAGCTCGGTGCTTGGATCCTGCCCCGCGAGGCGATCGCACGGTGTGTGATGTGGACCCCAAGCGACGGGTGTTTGAGAACAAGGCGGCCCATGGAGTGAAAACCCCAAGGCCCCAAGCGGGTGATATGCACCGTTCGTCTTTTGACAGCTTTTGACCGATCGCACGGTGCTGCAGCAAGAGGCGGGATAACCACCACTAGCTGGCGTTTTGAATGGAACTGTGCCCACTTGACCTGAGGGTACCAAGAAGGGAGTCGACTAGACCGATGAACCTGGTCTTTGGGGCCAGCTTGAGACCTCCGCTGGGGCACTTTCCGTTCTTGCCGACTCCACAGCATGGAGAGGCAAGGACACAACGGAGCGTGATGACTCCCAAAGAACATCACAATAAGCGGAGCTGACGACCCCGGACAGTTGTCTGCCATTTCTGCGACATCACATATTGCCAATTGGAGCTTGGCCAGGTGCCAGGTTGTTGTGACCTCTGTACTGTCCACACCAGGCTGAAGCAAAGCAGTCCTTCCTTGCTTTGTCTCCATAGAACATCTTTAGGACCTTCTCCAGGACCCCTAGGAACAACCTCCACCAGAAGAGACCCTGAAAGTGTACAGTTTTTGAGGCAACCCAAGACCTACATGTATCAGTATCAAGGGCATTTGTCAAAAAGAGTGTCACGGAAATGTGCCAGTTCTGAGGTGGCCAAAGTCTCTACTCTGGAGTATTTTGAGCAGGTCAGGGGACTTGGTCTGCGTAGCTGCAAGAAGCTGCAGTGTTGCAGGTCCGGCTATTCCATGCTATGCCCTTAGCCCTTGGCTTGTACCATGACCATGTGGCACAAGATGGCACAAGTGTTGTTTCAACCTGTTTGCCATCTGATGGCAGATCTTTGGTCTGACCAGCGAAGTTGCGTCTCCAGCAGTCGACGAGGCCACAGAGTCTAGTTGCCTCCTTGATATACCCTCCAATAGACATGTAAGTGGATGGCACCCCGTGTCTGTAGAGGATTTCAGGGTCGAACGCCGGAGGGCCACGGTCCAGGAGGCCTGGAGTCTCTCTGCTTGACACGACCACAACGCGGGCAAATGTGGGCCTTGTGTTGGAAAGCCGTACAACGGATGTTGCCCGTGTTGAAGATGGAGAACCAAGCCTGGGTGGTGTCAGATATATTCAGACATGATATAAATATGATATATGTAATACGTTTATGTTCAACCTAAAATTGAGATAATTGAGCCCACTGACACATATCCTTTCAAGTGATTTGAAACCACCATCCCCCCATCCTTTTGTATCTTGGGGCCTTTAGCGGAGATATGAACAAAAGTTCAATCGAACAGTTGGGCGGGTTCACGATGTCTCTTACTTTGAAGTGAACACGATTAACAAAAGAACAGTTAAAACAACCATGTCCCAGTTCCAAATGTCGCGGTGCTATCCATGGGGTGCCATCCGAACCGTTGTCAGGGTGCCATCCGCACTAGCACATCCACTCAAGAGGGGTCTAAAGATCCACCACGCCCCAAGCTGGAACTCCCGGTCCATGTGATTTGTTTTGGGGTCTTGTGCATTATTTCTATGCTGTGCTTTCTCGCCGTCATGCGCCGTCTTCTCGGAAGTCTTTGGGACACGAGGTCCGTCTTCCCAGGCGACGCGTCGCGGTTTTGGGGTCAGCGACGTCGGCGATGCACCCCAAAACACGTGTCAACCGAAAGTTGTCGCAGTCGAACAAAGGCGCCAGACTTTCGAACAGCCGATCACTTCGGACGTTTCAACCGTTTCGCAGGTCTCCACCTTCAATGCGGCTCCCTTTGAGAGAGGGACTGATGGAATGGAGCCAGTGGCTTGGAGTTGGATGAAGACTGCTGGAGACCCCAGAAAAACAGGCGTTTTGGAGTTCAAGAATGTTGACCGTAAATGTTTCACCAAGCATTTTTAAACCGAAAACACACCCAGATTCCAGATGTGTTTTAAAGCAAGTTGAAAGATTTGTTCAACAGCATAGCAGCATATTGCATGTAAAAGAGTGTAAAGGAAGTTGTGTGAAACAAAGAATTATGATTCATAATGTGATTAATTATTGCATATTGTTTAACAGTCCGGTCATGTACAAGAAGTGCGCTGAAATACTGGTATGTTGTGGACTGCCTGGACATGGCTCCAGTTTGGCGCCAGTGCTTGAAACACCATGACATGAATGATCACGCTTACTGATGGATTTGTCTATATATACACATTTGGAAGGATGTTGCTAATTCACGGATCTCCACGTGCTGGCACGGGGGGGGGGTTAAAAATCTGTCAGACCAGGACCAACTTCAACTCGTGCACTTCCATTGTCGCACCAAAGAGCCCTTCCACCTTCGCACGAATGACGGAAACTGGTGAGTTTGCCGACGTGAAGCAAATCGGAGTAAGACCATGATAGAAGATATGCAAAATAATCACTACCGAACACCAGGTCCGCGATAACCACCCAAGAGCAATTGAGTCTTTGACCGAACACCCGCGCTTTATGTGGTTCCCGCCACCGACACCAGATCTATCCCAAAAGGTTCATATTTGTAGGGACTATAATAGAGAGAATCCATTTGGAATGTCCCATGATGCTGTTCCGTGACGCCGAATGCATGGAGAAATAGCTCTTCAAAGGTTTTGGCCGAAGGATCCTACTGAAGGATCTGGACCAAAGAAAGCTGACCCAAGAAAATATATAATGTTGTTGTTTTATGGGAGTGATTGCAAGGCCTTGGACAAATTGGAAAGATGATTTGCTCCTGTAGTGTGTCAGCAGGTGTTTTGACAAAACTGAATCATTGGCAGGTGATGAAGAAGATCTCGACCTTCGACTTCTTCGATGCTCCACTTACGCCCTACGCCAACACGACTCCCCTTCCCATGCACTGCGCGCCGAAAGGGTTCCCAGTGGAAATCCCTGTGGCGAAAGTGGAGTCGGAGGCACCGGTTGTGGATGTTGGCGTTGAAAGAAGGAAGGGATTGCTGTGGTACTGGGCACCAGGTGCTCAGAAGCGTTTGCTCACTCTTGGTGATGAGAAAGGATGAACCTTGTCACTACTAGTGTTAGTTCTTGATTGAACCCCCCCTCGAGATTCAGAACCAGGATGGTAGAGCAATAAAGCAATATGTTTGGATATGTTTGGGAATATTTTGAGACTCAACATGAGCGAAACAAAAGTTGAAGTTGTTCAACCAGTTGGGGTGATGATTGTACCAACCATCCCTCCACCCGTGACCCCCCCTGGCAGTAGTGGTTGGAATTGATTGTTTGTGTTGTTGATTTGGATGTTGGATCCAACCCCGGCGGCACACGCGGCCAGTCTCAAGACACCGGGAAACCTAGAGAAGAGAACTTCAGTTTTACTGAATTGGTTCATGTGAAAGTTTTCGTTTTCCGGTCTGGTTCTCCGGCCTGTAACAGCGGCCTTCCTGTGAAGTGGAAAGACCAATAAGCCTACGTTGTTTCATGTCTATCTATGTTTCACCGTACTATCGGGGGTCAGTATGGGATCCTTGGGGTCAGCACCTTGGCCCCAGATGAGCGGTGGCACAGCTTCTTCTCCAGGCGGTGGACAAGATCTCAACCTATGACTTCTTTGATGCGCCCCTCACGGAGCCCATGCACTGCTCCGGCTGTGGTTTGGAGTTGACCGTGCGGAAGGTGGACTCCGAACCACCGGTGGAGCTGCGTGACGTAAAGAGAAAGACACTGGTGGGGTGCCAGGGACGGATGTCGTGACGTAAAGCTGTTTCTACGGTAGACCGGTAGACCTTATCAAGTAAACCGTAAAGCTTTCTATATCCACAAGCACAGTGGAACTAGATGTGTAATTCTTAATATATTCTAACATGCCCCTTTTGCGGGATCTCTCCCCAGAAAAGGAGTATGCTGGCATCTAGGTCTAGAGCTTGCCGCTGCTCATACCCCAAGCAACAGGTACAAGTCAACGGGGTTTGACCGCAGAGTTTCTGGATTCCGTGGACCCAAGGCACAACCGGCACCACCCTGAACCACCTGGGTAATTGGTGAACGCAAGGGAACTTAGAAGAGTATAGATTGGTCTAGGTGTTCTATTCATGTTACGGACCAGTTGGTTCACAGCCATTGTTTCTTTGTTGCAAGCAAAGGCCGTTTTCATGAGTCTTGCCCTTACGTGGACATCAGTCACGTCACAAGCCCAAGGCTCTCAGAGTCGGGGGGGCATGTAGGGGCTCAATGCCACACGAGGGTCTACAGTCGTCTTCGTGACAAGTTTGACCAGTCCTCTCAAGATACCCTCCAAATGATCATGGTTTCATGGGTGGCATCACCTGTTTGTGGAACATAATCATCCTTCCGGGGCCCATTCAGAGATTTCAGAGAGTCTGTGGCCATTCTCACGCCAAGCTGCGGTTTGGCCGCACCACCCAGGAGCGTGTCCACCTTTGACTCCTTCGAAGGGAATGGTCCCTCCCTTGATGAGCCGGCAATGGTGAACGTCTCCACCTTCGAGTCCCGACGAAGGATGGGTGACGAGGGTCAGGTCTGATGAGCCACCGTGAGGTAGCCGGTTGCCACCAGAGGTGACTCATTTGGGGCGTGCAAAAAGCAGGTCATTTGCAGATCCTTTGTTTGCTGCATCTTCCAAGTTTCTGCAATCGGTTTCGGATGTACCCGGTGTACCCTCTATGTACATCACAAATGGAGTTCGTGGGTTCAAGCTTCCACATTACGCGGGTCTCCCACGACGAAACTCGGGGGTTGTTCGTCTCGTCTCGGTGGCGCCCCCGATTGACACTCGCGGGAGAGATGATCAAATCGGGGGCGGAGCGTGTCTTCTTCCACGCTGAAGTCAACCAAACAGGGAACAGCCCTGGTGACTGGGCCCATGACCAGGGCGACTCTGGGAGTGAAGTGGTTCAGGTATCCAAGATATCCAGCGATGCTGTCTTAGGCTCTCTTGAGCCAGCCAACATCGGAACTTCCCAAGCTGACCTCTCTCACAGGTTCTGGATCCGGTGCAGTCCATTTCCTGGGTACGAACGGACTGGACTGTGCCCCAAAAACACCAAAGAGGAGGACGGTGTCCGGACTCCCACGAAAGTGGACACAGAGTACGGTCCGTGACCAATGAGAGGATGGTGAGGATGCCTTCTGGAGCACCCCTTGCACAAAGTATGTTTCTCCAAGGCTCGCAGCCATAATGATTCCGATTCCCATTCTCATTGTGAGTCGCCAAAGCAGGGGGGCTTCGGAAGAGAGCCATTGCACAAGACCTTTTCAGATGAGGACCTCAAATTCTACTTAACAATCTAGCGAATAATTCTACTCAACAACCTAAGCGAATATAGTATATATAATGATGGATCTTGGTGGATCCAATACAACCAAATGCTGTGTGAACACCCGAAAAGAGCTGTACATTGTACATTGTACTTTTAAAACGGAAATTGTCCAATTGCTCTCTCTCCAGCGATCCAAGGACTTCTTTGAAGATGCTCCAGCGCTCCTTCCCTTGCCTTTGCCCTATGGCTTGCCCCTAGCGCCCGGGTGAATTCTACTCGAAACATCTCCCCAACGTTGATTGGCCTAACCCAGACGCTCCATGGGACTGCCATATATGCCTACATTGGGGTTATACATGGAGTGTCTGGGTAAGTAGGGCAACCCAAAGCAACACGTTGAAATGCTTTGTCGTTGAAAGTGTTCGTGTTCTAGATATATTCTTCGAGGTTCTTTCGTTGCAGATGCATCCGGGATAGCACGACCTCTCGCCATCCCTGACCTACGTCAGACTGACCCCGGCTCAATTGGAGTTCGTCCGAAGAGAAGGCAACACTCCCAAGAACCGTCCATGTTTCCATCGCAAGCCACGATAATACCCACCTGCTCAGGGAAAAAGCACATGGCAGCAACCCTGAAGCAGCAGTTCGAAGAGAGTTTATTAGTTAACTGGTTGTGCGTTGTGTGTGTGTGTTTGTTTTTATTGTTTTTATATATTATATAATTGTACTTTGTGCAGGTCGACGGTCGGACATACCCAACAAAACGACGTCGCGTCGTTGATCTTTCGCTCGGTCCTCTACTCGCTCTTGGGGGGAACGCCGCCAGCGCACCGGTGCAGTTGGTCAATGCCAAAACCCGGTCCCAAGGTGTAATATCCTTTAGATGTCCAAGGTGCGCACCTGGGATTCACAAGAATTGGATATACATCATCCTCATCCCAGACGACTCATGCTACCAGGTGCCTTGCGCCGAGCTGTCCACCATCTCCAGCACTCCCGAGGGGCCCAGCCCCCACGGAGAACGCGAACGCGCGGAGCTGACCGTGCCCGAGAAACGCTCCAATGCACCCTTGCAGCTGCAGGGTCCTGAGGGGAAACCTGGGCCGCAAAGAGGCGGAGATCGCCCGAGCGGAAGGTGTGTTGGGAGAGCGGAAGGTCAGGTGATTGGGGGTGATATACTATTGTGCTACTGCGAAGAGCTGAAAGGCATTAGCAAGAAGGTAGGGACTTGGCAGCATGGAGCTGTGAAACAGAGGCAACTTTTCAAGGCCTGATCTACCAAACCAAGGGCCGGAACTGCTGAGGTTTCAAGTGAGGCTTGGGCCATGCTGTTTGACCTACAGGTCACGGGGTGAGACGTTCACACCATTGAAAAACATTAAATCACCTCCTCAAGCAGAGGTTGAACAGCCACCTTGGTTTCTTTTGGTTCTGCGGTTGGCCCGTTGCATACACAGGTGAATGTCCCGTCCAAAGAGTGCACCCGTTTTCAACCACCCCAACTGGTCGGTTGGCACTCCCATTTGTCGTGTTTCGGTTTGTACTCACAGTTTGTTGCCACTCCACCAAACAGCGGGGATAGACCTTGTGACCATGGAATGTTAAACGTTTCGTCGCTGACGTGCTTGGACCGCCAGAGTCTATTACCCATGGAAGTCTTGTATGAGAGAGATGATCAGATTGATGTATTATCATGGCTGGTTTGAGATGATTGAAGATGCATCATAAGAGAAGATGATATTGTACAATTATATTATATAGGTGTTGTATTGCTGCTTCAGCTGTCCGGCCATCAAGAACGATCATCATCCCTTGCAGAAGTTCCCCAATTTGAGACGCAGCAGACTCTGTCACGATCCTCAAGACCTGACACTGGTGCGTCGCACCCAGGGTCTGGTTGCGTCGCTGTTCAATCTTGGCTCAAGATCAGTTGACCCGTATGTCCGCATCGGCCGGGCTCGGTGTTGACCGGGTAAAGCCATGAAGTCTTTGTCCTCGGGACGACGACGCTCGCTGTCCTCCCTGTGGGAGCGTTCCCAAAGCTTGCCGGTGCGGAGGAATCGGATCTCCACCCATGGAGCCATTGCCATGCATGAAATGGTCAATCCGGCGAGGTGGGAAGCGAGGTGAGCACCCATCGAATGCGAATCTAATGCTTGTTGTTCGAAGCAAAACGGTGGTGACCTCCCCACCACAAAAGCTTCTATATGCGGGATAGTACGGGTCCTTTTTGGGAGAGGATGCAAGTGGCCACTCCTTTTGGTGGGACACACTTCAAGACTTCATGGGAAGTTTGGCAGTTTCCTGGACGTTAGGAGTGGTGTGTTTAGCTCACCAGATGTAGAGAAGTAGAGGGTGCTTAAGCTCTGTTGAATTGGAAGGCCAGCAGACCTATTCAGGGGCTTGTGGATATGACAGAGGCACCCCAAGGCCCCTTAGAAGGCACCACCGCGAGCGTTGAAACTGGAAATGAGGTGTCAACCCTTCAAAGCCATCCTGGATTGGATGTGTGCCAAGACAACCTCAGATTTTTTGTATGCACATGCACAGATTAGCAACATATTAGTTGTCAGTAGTCTTTGGGAGTTTAGCCAGGAGTAGTCGTTCTTTGGGATGGTGTCAGCATCATGGGTATGAGTTTGCTTCCCCTCACAAGGTGGTGCATCACCTTCGCTGACCTCAAGTTCTTCGAGTCTGAGGTGCAACAGGCCATCGACGAGGGGAGCTTCCCGGAAGTGCACCAACCCGAAGGGCCCAGCATCTATTCGGTGAATGAACACTACATCAAGCCTGTGACTGAGAGCGCGGGGAAAATGAGTTGGGCATTGATGATGAACCCTGATGGGCTTGACTGCGATTTATTTGTGACCCATGCTTGGCAGGAGGACGTTTTTGAGTTCACCGAGAAAGTCTTAACATCCTGGCCTCATCGTGCACGTCATGCTTGGTGCTGTATGCTGGCCAATCCGCAAAATCTGGATATCGCCGCCTTGCTTCAGTCCCCATCTGTGTCTCCATTTGCCATTGCCCTGCAAAATGCCAGTTACATGCTGGTGGTTCCCAACCGCCATGAAAGTGTCTACACAAGGTTGTGGTGTGGATATGAGGCCTACTTAGCTTTTCAAAGCAACAAAATTATTCGCACTGCAACTCCTTCGATCGGGCGGCAAGTGGTATTTGCTTGGCTTTGGATGTGTCCAGCACTGGCAATAGGTCATGCGGTGGGGATCGTGTCTAAGGTGAAAGGCCTGGAAGTCGCTCTGAAGTTAATCGGTGTCATGAAAATCTTCGCTCTCTTGGCGAGCTTGGTAAGCCAAAATTGCGGTCAGATCAAATTGTGCCTCATTGCAAACCACGTGGGCCTCGCAAGTGGTGTGGCCACCGTGATTGGATGCATACTCCCGCTTTCTTTCTCGCCACTTTTTGCGGAACAAGAGGGGCGGGTGATAGCAAGTTTTGGATACATTTTGTTGGTTGGATATTTCTTGCTTGCTGAAGTTGACCGAGTCTACTGGCAAGCAGAAGAGCACGAGACAGAGCTGCTGCAACATCAATATCGGGGATCCATTCGTCAGGCGTCATGCTCAGAAAGCCAAGATGAGATTAACATTCGGAACGAAATCGGCGAGCATTTTGACGAGGTTGACAAAGTGATTCAAGTTCTGATGAAAGCTGGTATGACGTCCAACGCACTTCGAGAAGCATCTCTGCAGGGGGTGGAACTTCGTCATGCTGGAGTGGTTCAATTGGCGATTCCCATACTTGAGCTTGGTCCTGGGTGGCTTTTGGGTTGTTGGAACTTGGGCCGATACTTCTTCCTGCCTTTTGATGATCCAATACCCCAAACTCGTGGGCTCATGGCATCCTTGCAAATGGCATCAGTCCTAGCCAGGTTGATGTTTGTGATTCTTTTGCTTCACCGTTCCATTGATGAAAGATGTTTCATGCTCAATGTGATGGCAAAGATGGTTGCTCCCATTTATTTCTGCTATGCCACCTTCAGTCTGGATTTTCATCGAGCCGTCTATTTGACGGTCTTCTGTTTCTACCACCTGGCCTTCGTGCTGGTCCTGTTCTTCGCTTTGCTGGGCATTCGTGGCACCCTCCGATTGCCCTGCGGCACCGTGTTGGCAGAAGTCTTCCTGTCCCGGATCTTGAGATGCGGCTGTGGCGGTGATTCGTCGGACGGCGTCTCATCATCCGAAGGAGGCGAGGCTCCTTCGGAGGCTTCAGAGTCCGGCAGTGGGAGCTGAAAAATGGTTTCAGAGATGGAAGTTCATGGAAGCTCATGTCAGCATATGTCAGCCCCATGAACCCCATGTAAGCTTATAGATCCAATATTCCTTCGGATTCTGAGCAAATATCAGCAAGCCTATGCAAGCCCCCGGGGTCCTTCGAACAGGGTCGTCCACCCGACGCTCTTCCCTACCCTACGGTCGAGGCGCTCGTCGATCGCCTAAGATGGTGGAGAGAAAGGTGGCGGTTTTCATGGTTGATCAGGTTGATCTTCACGAGTTCGATTGAATGGCACCCGCGGCAGATTCCCATAGGTTACTAGTGGTGGAGAGTTGTTCTCCCTATCATGCTGGAGAAGTGATGGAATAGGACCTTGAATAGGACCAGTTAAAACGCCGGGGACCTCGACCATTCCTCACACATCCGCATGGTTTGCTGGAGAATACTAAATCATCTAAATCACTTCCCGGCAGTTCTGCCCTTTTGGGGCCCCCATGCTCGCGAATGAATGAAGGAACGTTTCATGGATGTTCGCTCATTTGGTGGTAGATCTTCATATATATAGATCTTCATAAACTCTAGAAAGATCACAACAGTTTCTGTAGATCCACCACTTAGAACACTGAAGTTCAGTGGCCCCCCCTGCATCAAAACCCCTAAAGACGCAAAGACTCGCGACCTGTCTGGGACCTTCGGGTGAGAACAACCCGCGACCTGTCAGCCGCCCGAGGAAGGAGCAGATCCACTGGAAAGTAGATGCTCGGAAGTTGGAGTCCCAGGAGAAGCAGATCTTATCGCCAGAGTCTGGGATGCCCAGGGGCGAAACGCGCGAAAAGCATGGGCATTATACATATTATACCGTACCAGCTTCAAGTTGTGTAATACAAAATACACAGGGAATAAACATGAATAAACCAAAGGGAATAGTTCTTTTACTTCTACATCTCTTTGGCTACCAACCAAGTTCATCCGCGATTACATGCGACAACTAAAATGACATGGAAGAATAAGATATGTGTGCTATTTGAAGTATTTTGACGTTATTTGATTGCTTTTGTTTTATCACGCACTGGAGGTGCCCCCCCAACCCATCCATCGACTGAGCCCGGGTACGAGTGGAGGTGTCCCATGTTGAGGATCTGAACTTGGTGGAACGACAGCACTTCTGGCGCCCAAAGTAGGGGCACATCTGGCGCAGGTTTCAGTTGCTTGGTACCTGCCATGCCTGGACACCCTAGATGGGTGGGTGTTTGGAGCCCTCCACAGGGTGGTCAACAAACTCAACAAAACGCCCCCCTGACCACCAATTAGCACCCTCGAAAACGCTATCCTGGTATATCGGAGTAACTGTATACGTATACTATACTGAATAGTAAGTTAGGACTTAGGACTTGTCGAACAGTTCCTGATGGGATAAAGAAATCGAATTAAGACGTCCCACTGTTCTCCCTGATTGATGTCTACTGATTGAACCTCAGGAAGAAACCATTCACTGAATACCTACTGAGCCCTCCCCCCCTGAGGTTTGAGCTCACCCTGCCTGGCGTGGGCCCCACGCCCTTCCGATTGATGATCTTGGCGAAGGAGACCCGAGGTAAAGGACCCCCCGCACGTGTGATGCGCACGGTACGTGATTCCCATGTTCGGCCATTGGTGCATTCAAAAGGCTGCATGATTAACGTGAATTAACCATGGGGTTCAGTGGTCTCGTTTTTTTGCGGGGTTCAGTGATCTCAGTCAGTTCTTGCATGTCAAATCATAATGAGTCCTAAGAGCTGCTGGTGACTGTGCCGGGCTCGAAGCAACGCTTCCGGAAGGATGCCGCGGGTTCTTGAAGGCGAAGGGCCGTGGGCGACTCTTCCTGAAGCATGGAGCTCAGAGGGGGGCGACTCTTCCTCAAGCTTGCTTGCTAGTTGTGTTCAGGCACTCCATGGACTTCGGAAGGTATATAGGACTCCGGACTGAGTGACGGACTCTTGATTCACAGAATTTGCCAGAACCTCTCTCCTTTGGGATTGAACAAGCTCTCCAAATGGGTGGCCTTTATTACTGATCAAGAGTCTACATTAGGACCGGTTTTGCCCTCCTATAAGTAATCGTCCCCATCCCACCGAAAGAACTGGAGCTGGGGGGCGGAGGTTTAGGGTAGTTGACAAATCAACTTCTGTGACTCCA